TGGGGACTTCAACTCCCAGAATTCCCCAGCCAGAACGGCTGACTGGCTCGGGAATCCTGGGAGTTGAACTTGGGGACTTCAATTCCCAGAATTCCCCAGCCAGAACAGCTGACTGGCTGGGGAATCCTGGGAGTTAAAGTCCACAAATCTTACAGTTGCCGAATTTGGAGACCCATGTCCTAAAGCATTGCTGAGATAACGCCTCAGTGTAAAGATCTTTTTCAGGTCTGTAAAGCAGAAGTAAGCTGATAAGAGGGTGGAGGTTTCACTTAACTCTGGTCGTTAAACGAGGACTACCTGTATGGCTGCTACAGGCCCCTAACAGTTCTTTCTTTTACAGATAGAAGAAATGTACTCGGTGGTGTGCAAAAAGAAAAAGAAGAAGAAAACCCATCACTCCGAAGGGGCCGGCGAAGAGACAGCCCCGCAAGCAAAGGGGATTCCTGCTCATTGCCAGGAGAGGATGGTCAGTCAGGAATCCAACGGCATTGCAAGTTACCAGTCCTCATCGGCCCCTACCGCCACGGAGCCTTATTATGAGTCTGTGCCATGTGAACCCCGGGCCAAGGTTGCAAGCCAGCCAGTAGCCGAGCCGGCTTATGAGTCTGTGGACACTTACTGCAAAGAGGTGAAGAGGAAATGGAAGGCCCCAAAGAACAAAATGGCTCCTGAAAATTTGTATGAAAGCATCGACCGAGTAGCCATTCAGGGCCAAGACTGAGGCAGAACCTCACAACTGGAAAGCTGACTCTGCGTGGCCATTTCTCGGGTCCAAGGGCCTGAGTTCCAACCGGTAAATACAGAGAGTCCTCAACTTACAACCAACCGATCAATCAATCAATCAATCAATCAGAATATAGGTAGTCCTCGACCACAATTGGCCCCAAATTAACGTTGCTAAACGAGACATTTGTCAAGGGACTTTTCTGACCTGCCTCCCCGCAGTTGTTAAGTGAATCCATTGCCGTTGTTCTTAAGTGGGTAACATGGTCGTTAAGCGAATCCATGGACTTTGCTTGTCAGAAGGTCGCCAAAGGGGATCGTGTGACCCCGGGACACTGCGGCCGTCATGAATATGAGTCAGTTGCCAGAAATGTATACAAATATGAATATGTGCACAAGATATATGTACTTAGATGACACACTGTATAACGGAAAGATGGTTTTGTTTGTTTTTGTTGTAAAAATTTAACAATAATTCCAAAATAAATAAATAAATATGAGTCAGTTGCTGTTCTGACCCAAAGCTTGTTCCAAGGAAACAAACACGAAATGGAGTTAACAGCAAAAACCTTTTAATGATATTTTACGAATTCTGTTCCTTCACAGTTAAAAGGCTGTTTCAAACGAATTGTCTCTGATAAGAACGAGTCTTGCCAAGGTGGTGCAAGGCTGCCAAGAACAACAGATAAAGTTGCCAAGAAATATTTTAAACACAAAGAGTCTCCAAATACAAACTAAGAGAGTCTGAACGGCCACAAGGCTTGAGTGCAAAAACTTCTTTGCTTCCTGCAAAGAACTCTGGTTTCTCAACTGGCTTTTATCTCTTAAGGGAGGGGCCATTACCTTGCAGCCTTACTCCCGAGCCACCTTTGCTGCTGCAGCTGCTCTTCCCTTCGAGCAGCCCTGCATGCACGCACCCTGGGCAGAGGCTCCTCGGGGTCCTCTTCCTCACTGCTGCCAGCCTCCACAAGCTCCGAAGGCAGCATTCCACTCCCTGATGGTCCTGGCCCCATCCCTGCATCACACGCAGGGCCCTCATCCGAGTCCTCACTCTCCGAGACCTCAGCCATCTGCACCTGCTGCTGGCAAACCACAACAGTTGCCAAGCATCTGAATGAAAATCACGTAACCATGGGGATGCTGCAATGGTCGCAAGTGTGAAAAACAGTCATAAGTCCCTCTTTTTCAATGCTGTTGTAGCTTCGAGCGGTCACTAAATGAACTGTTGTAAGTCGAGGCCTCCTTGTGATTCACTTACTGACCACCTTGCTTAGCAACGGAAACCATGATCCCAATTCTGGTTGTAAACCGAGGACTATCTGTGTTTTATCTTAATGCATAAACTTAAAAGCTTGAGGGCCACAAAATTTCAAGTGCCAAGGACTGGACATGCCATGAAGAGGCCATTAACCATACGTGACCAGACCTGAGAACGGTTGTGTGCTTCTGATAAGCTGCCCACGCATACATAGTATTGGACACCTGTGAGAGCAGGGGTTGGACTAGATGACCTCCAAGGTCCCTTCCAACTCTGTTACTGTTACTCTTGATATCTATCTATCTATCTATCTATCATCTATCTATCCTAATCTATCTATTAGAATGCAGTATTGCAGGCTAATTCAGCTCACTGACAGCAGTTCGATCCTCACCAGGCTCAGCCTTCCCTCCTTCCGAGATCGATAAAATGAAGACCCAGATTGTTGGGGCCCAACAGGCTGAATCTGTAAAACTGCTTAGAGGGGGCTGTGAAGCACTGTGAAGCGGCATATAAGTCTTAAGTGCTATTGCTGTTTTCTCAAATAAATATTAAATTACAGACTGTAATTACGGAAAGTCCAGCGGAAAAAATACAGAAAGTCCAGTGGAAGGTTGGAGGCAGTGGTGGTGTTATGCCTGGATTCCCCAACGGGTGTTAAGGAAAACAAACTAAACAGAATGTACAGCGAAGTCAGATAGGAAGACAGGTAAATGTGTGAGATAAGTTTTTTAGTTAACACGCAGTAAAAATACAGATACGCTTGTGTTATCAAAAATATTGTTTATTCCATTTAAGAATTATAGCATAGTCAAATGTAACGGTCCATTAGTCATATATCAATTTCAGTCAAGTCTTATCGGGGATACTCTATTTGCAAAGTCCGTGTTGAATAGCCAATGTCAGTTCACTTACAATAAATCAGTCCAATCTTTATCTTCTCTCCGTTGAGAAAAATCAACACTCCTTTTTCTCTCCCCGTTCCAGCAAGAACTCAGTCATCAATTCATCCAGTAATTAGGGATCTTCAAGCCAGAGAGAGAGAGCTGCAATTGCCTCGCTTCTTATATAGTGCTTTTACAACCACACCCTTAATTACATTCTTGCAGTTAAAGTTACACACACTTTAACTAACAAACCATGATACTATATTTATTATTTTTACCCAAAACAGTTAGGGTAAACAATGTTATCCCTAACAGGTGGGATTCAAACTTTTTTTACTACTGGTTCTGTGGGCGTGGTGTGGTGGGTGTGGCAGGGGAAGGATACTGTAAACTCTCCATTCCCACACCACTCCTGGAGGAAGAACACTGCAAAATCCCTATTCCCTCCCCACCCCACTAACCTGCCTTCCAGCTCCATTCTCCTGTGCAGGGCAACCAAAGAAGACCCAGCGGATCAGCTGGGAGTTGGGAGGCAGAAAATAGATGGGGGCGGAGCCAGTCAGAGGTGGTTGTCAAGACTCCGACATGCACCCCCATTCAAATCATAAGTCTCTAGCCGCGCCTGTCAGAGTAAAAAAAGATTGATTTATTAGGAATTGATATGTTGGCGTTTCCTGGTTGCACATCATTAATTTCACCCTTGACCCCCTGGATGTATATTCTCCAATGGGACACTTCCATAGCCAAGAGTCATCAATTATGCTCTCCAGTAATAATCTTGTGCGCCAACAGCTTCGGCTGCCTGGCAATTATCAGAAACATTTAAGGAATGCACTGCTTTCCCCCCACTCCCTTTCTGCTGGCAACTAAAAAGACCAAAGAAGTATTTTTTAGTCAACAGAGGTATTTGCTGGTTCTCCAAACTACTCAAAATTTCCGCTATCAGTTCTCCAGAACTGGTCAGAACCAGCTGAATACTACCTCTAGTTGGAGGGGGAAGGCGGGGGGATGCAGCCAGCTGAACAGTCATGGGGGAGGTAAAAGGGGAAGAGGAGGGTGTTAAGCTCAAATACCACTTGAGTAAAACATGGGTGCCAAATGACAGTCATGGTGCTGCAGAAAAGTTTGCAGACAGAGATGCAGGTAACCGGCAGAGCTATAGCAGTATTTTTGGCCCGAGTGTTTCCAGCTACATGGTACAGTCCCCACTATCTCAAAAAGGACACCCAGGAGTTCAAAGGCTGAAGAGGCAGCCAATTAGACTAGGGCTGTGATGGCGAACCTATGGCACGCAGGCAAACTTACCTCACTGCACATGTGCGCGCCTCACCGCTGATTTTTTTTTTCCCCCGGTTGGTTTGAGGCCTTTTTCAGCCTCCCACAGGCTTGGAAAAAGTCTCTGCAAGGTTTTTTACAGGCCACATTATAGGCCGGTTTCATCACTTCCTGTAATACTGGAAGCGATGAAACGGGCCTAGAATTCATCCTGAAAAGCCTTGCAGAGGCTTATTCCAAGGGAGAGGAGGAACAGCCGACAGGGAGTGGAAGTGTTGTTCTGGAGGTTGTGGAGGAGGCTGGGGAAGGGCACAGGCTGGCTGGGCAGTCAGAGGAGGACCCAGGCCCATTCCCCTCTCCATCCTAGGGCACGCAGGGAGGAGAGGATAAGGGAGAAATATAAATGGCATGGTCTACGGGGGAAGAAAGGGCCTTGATCCCCTTCATGGGCTGCAGCTGTGAGAACTGCGTATGAGCCAGTGCTGGAAACAAAGTGTGAAAATATTTCTAGTCTGTCCGTTCTTACCTGAGTTTGGCGTCCTTCCCAGTGTGTATTCCAATATCTGTGGACGTCTTCAAGCCCTTATCTTGCCTGGTCCCCTTAATTGCTTCAGTGTGGTTTGTGTTGTTTTTTTCTATATAATTTATAGGTATTTTTAGTTTAAATGGCATTTCCTCCTTTTTGCAACTGTTTTGTGGGGGAGTTTTTTGTTTCCAGTCAAGGATAATTGGAGCTTTGAAGCCAAGTTGAAGGAATTAAAGGGACTTCACTTGTTTTTGTGCCTATGTGGTTTTTCTATGCCACCCTGAGTCATCACACCTCTGGGAGGCTGAAAAAGGCTTTAAACCAGCCGAAAAATTGCTGTGAGACGCAGTGCAGGTAAGGGGGGGGGAGAGGGGGGGGGGGGGGGGGATTGCATGCACATGGGCGGGGGGTTAGGGTTAGGGGAGGGGGCGTGCATTGCATTCTGGGTGCTGGCATGCAAGCGCGCACACAAATTTGGGCACAGGAGCCCAAAAAGGTTAGCCACCACTGGACTAGGGTTTATTTTACTTTACAGATGGTCCTCGATTTACAACCATTCATTTAGGGACCGTTCGAAGTTACAACGGCCCTGAAAAAAAGGGACTTATGACCGTTTTTCACACTTATGACCGTGGCAACATCCCTGTGGGCATGTGTTGAAAATTCAGGCGCTTGGGTAGTGGTTCATATTTATGCCGTGCACCAGGCGTACGTGATCCCCTTTTGCGACCTTCTGACAAGCAAACTCAAAGGGGAAGCCAGGTTTCACTTAACAACTGTTTTTGCGAACAACAGCCGTGGTTCACTTAATAACCATAATAAGAAAGGTCGTAAAATGGAGCACAACTCACTTAAGAGCCGTCTTGCTTAGCGATAGAAGGTTTGGGCTCCATTGCGACCGTTAAGTCGAGGACTTACTTGAATTTCTCTAATTCATATAGCTGCACATCTCGCCATAAGGGAATTCTAGGCAGCATAAAACAAAAATAAAGGTAAAACAGTGAATATATACAGGTAATCCTGGAGAATTATGTGTATTGAATTATAGTCCTAGAAATTAAGGAGAAAAGGATGTACTTCGAGTTATCAATTGAGGGAGTCTGGTGCCCCCTGGTGGTAGTTAGCCTGACATCCCCCCCAGAGATTTATTTTAAAGCAGTTTGAGGATAGACTAGACTAGATAGAATTAGAAATAGAAATAATTGAACAGAACAGAATATAATATGAAAGAATAGAATAGAAATAGAAATAAGAATAGAATAGAATAGAATAGAATAGAATAGAATAGA